GTGGTGCTCTGCAGCCTCCATCAAGGAGAGGCAGGCATAGAGTACATGGGGACAACGGTATAGAGCCCCAAGTTCAATACTGCAGGTAAGGTCTCCACATGCACTGACTGAGCTACTGAAATCCACATGACCCTTGGTTCCCTCCCAGCCAAGGCCTAAAGAGAGCCAGATCTGGAATGAGACTTGCTGGGAATACAGGAATTGGAAAATGTAAGTGCTTTAAATGAGGGCTGTGCTCTAATATGCCCAACAGGGAAATGTCCCGGGTGCTTCGGGCTCACCCTGTGTCCCAAAGCAAAAGGGTTGCTATCCCCTGCCCCTTTCTCCTTTTATTACTTTTGAACTTGTTGCTTCCCAATTTCACTGGGTGCCCCTTGTTCTTACTGAAGAAGAGAGAGCAGAGAGGAGCTGGGCTATAGTGACTCAGAACATGAGTGCGTCAAGGCAGACTGTTAGAACAGGGCACAAACCCCAAACCAGATGTGAGTTCTGTACTTAGATTTCACCAATTTCCTCCTGCCCTGTCACTTTCTTTACATGGAGTCACAGACGGTTCCTTTGGGTGCTCCCAGTGAGCCTGCCTTTGTGATAGATGGTTCCTTGCCCTATGAATCACAGCAATATTCTGGTTACTCCCAGTCCCAAAGAACCACCGACTCCAGATCAGTTGCACTTTAGATCTCACACCAGAGACAACACTTCTAGCCAATTCAGTAATCAATTATTTAAAGATTTATTGAATGGGGAAAGGAAACAATAGTTATTTACACGGTTAAAGCAGGGGAACATACATAACCCAAATGAGTTGCAACGTGAACATTCAAGAGGTAATAGAAGCTTCTTTAATAAGCAATGTCCTTTAAGACTAACCCAAGCTAAGCAGCAGGAGATCCCTTGCATGTACCTAGAAACCTTGCCCCCCCCTCTGAGATGCCAAGCAGCAATGAAACAAAATACAGGACTATGTAGCACTTTAAAGACTAACAAGATGGTTTATTAGATGATGAGCTTTCGTGGGCCAGACCCACTTCCTCAGATCAAATAATGGAAGAAAATAGTCACAACCATATATACCAAAGGATACAATTTTAAAAAAAAACATTACAAAGATAGCTTCCCCAATTATCACCTCTAATACTATTAACTCACAGACATTTCCCCTTCCCCACCTCTAATATCATTAACTCACTGGCATTCACCTCCTTCCCCCTCCCCCCCACATCCCCCTTCTGTTCTGTAATGTGATTTGTCCTTTTCATGTGTGTTCATTTTTTTTAAATTGTATCCTTTGGTATATATGGTTGTGACTATTTTCTTCCATTAAAGTCCTTGTTGGTAAGTGTCGAATTTTAACATGAATGACAGTTCAGAGGATTCCCTTTCAAGTGCAGATGTAAAAGGTCTTTGTAGCAGAATGCAGGTGGCTAAGTCATTTAGAGAGTGTCCTTTCTGGTTAAAGTGGCAAGAAACTGTTTTCTCTTTGTGATCTTGTCTGATATCTGTTTTGTGGGCATTAATCCTTTGGCGAAGTGTCTGAGATGTTTGTCCAATGTACATAGCAGACGGACACTTTCGGCACATGATAGCGTAGATTATATTTCTGGATGCGCAGGAATATGTGTTCTTGATCTTATAACTCACTTGGTTAGGTCCAATAATGGTATCAGCAGAATGAATATGTGGACAAAGCTGGCAACGGGGTTTGTTGCAAGGGAAGGTACCAGGGTTGGTATTAGTGTGGTATGTCCTGTGGTGGTTGGTAAGAATCATCTTGAGGTTAGGTGGTTGTCTATAGGAGACTATGGGTCTGTCTCCCAGAGCCTCTTTGAGTATGGTATCCTGTTCCAATATAGGCTGTAGTTTATTGATAATGTGTTGGACAGGTTTAAGTTGGGGGTTGTAGGTGATGACAAGTGGTGTTCTATTGTTGGTTTTCTTGGGTCTGTCTTGAAGTAGATGGTTTCTAGGTATTCGTCTGGCTCTTTCAATTTGCTTTTTTGTTTCTCTGGGTGGGTAGTTGAGATTTATAAATGCTTGGTAGAGATCCTGAAGCTTCTGGTCTCTGTCAGTGGGGTTAGAGCAGATGCGGTTGTATCGAAGGGCTTGGCTTTAGACGATGGATCGTGTGGTGTGTTCTGGATGGGAGCTGGATGCATGTAGGTAACTGTATGAGTCGGTGGGTTTTCTGTAGAGAGTGGTGTCTAATTTTCCATTGTTGATTTGTACTGTGGTGTCCAGGAAGTGGATCTCTCGTGTAGAATGGTCCAGGCTGAGGTTGATGGTGGGGTGTAGGTTGTTGAAATCTCTGTGGAATATCTCCAGTGTTTCTTGGCCATGTGTCCAGATCATAAAGATGTCATCGATGTACCGTAGGTAGAGGAGGGGTGAAAGGGGACGGGAGTTGAGGAAACGTTGTTCTAGGTCAGCCATAAAGATGTTAGCATACTGTGGGGCCATGCGTGTACCCATGGCTGTGCCGCTGATCTGGAGGTATAAGTTGTTCTCAAACTGGAAATAATTGTGGGTGAGAACAAAGTTACGTAGGTCTGCTATCAGGTTGGCAGTGGTGTCCTCTGGGATAGTGTTTCTAATAGCTTGTAATCCGTCTTCATGTGGGATGTTGGTGTATAGTGCTTCTACATCCATGGTGGCAAGGATGGTGTTATTGGGGAGGTTATCGATGTTTTGTAGTTTCCTTAGGAAGTCAGTAGTGTCTCGGAGATAGCTGGGGGTGTTGGTTGCGTAGGGTTTGAGGAGAGAGTCTACATAGCTGGATAGACCAGTAGTTAGTGTGCCAAGTCTCAATGACCTGCTAACCTGCATCCTACTTCAGAAGACATTCAAATCTGCACTTGAAAGGGAATCCTCTGAACTGGCATTCATGCTAAAATTCGACACTCTCCGCACTGGACTTAACAAAGACCCCAGCTATCTTACACATTACAAAGATAGCTTCCCCAATTATCACCTCTAATACTATTAACTCACAGAATGACAAGCAACTGTTTTTTCTTTGTTTTTTCAAAGATGTGATTTGTCCTTTTCATGTGTGTTCATTTTTTTAAAATTGTATCCTTTGGTATATATGGTTGTGACTATTTTCTTCCATTATTTGATCTGAGGAAGTGGGTCTGGCCCACGAAAGCTCATCATCTAATAAACCATCTTGTTAGTCTTTAAAGTGCTACATTGTCCTGCATTTTGTTTCAGCTACACCAGACTAACACGGCTACATCTCTATCACTAAGCAGCAATGAGACACTGCTTCTCCTTGGTAGAGGTGTAGTTCCCTTATCCCACTTCTGCTTTGAGTTGCAAACTCAGCTTATGAGAGGAATTCACTTGTTAAGACTCGTCTTCATGGCTTTGGGGGAGAGTAAACAACAAAGTCTTCTATCCTTTTTGATGTTCCATTGTAGTCCTTTTGGTGTCGATGGGCCTTCCTGATCAGGCCTCTGGATGCTTGCTTGCATTTCACACTAATTAACATCTCTCTCCTGTGTGGTATGTATGCAGTGACAAAGCCACTTGCAATGCAAATGCTCAAATATGACTTTGCAATGTGGGTTACAGACCTTGTAAGTGAGACTAATACATGCCGTGATTCCCAAGTGTTCAATAATGTCTAAAGACATTCTTTTAATGCCTGTTTTAACAATACTAAGCCAGAGGTGAGCCAGACTGATTCCAGCGATGTATTTGTCACTGTTCAGTGGAGACCTTGTGACCTTGACATGGATTGGCTTGGTCTGCCAGCATCACACTCCTGATTTACCTTCACTGGCCATTCACTAGCTTTTATGCCTCACTTGTGCTCCCTCCCATTCGTTTTCTCACTAAACTGAGCGATCCCCATCTTCCCCAATTTCCTGTCGTAAGGCTCTCTCTCTCCAGCCTCTAATCATTTTCACCAGCCGTTACTGGATCCTTTCCTATTTCTGCTCTGTTTCTTTCCTACATCCAGCTCCTGTTGATTTCAGTAGAATCCCAGTGCAGCCAGCCAGGCTCGGTGTCTGGGCCTGGATCTCCTGGGTCTGGGATTAGTCCTTTGTCATAAAAATTACAGATGGAGAAACTGTCAGGTCCCATTGGGCCTGCTCCATGGGAGCCAGTGTAAAGTGGGGTCTACATTAGAAAGCTTTGTGGAATAACACTTTTAGCTGGTGGGGGAGGGTTGACTTTTCTGTACCAGGCAAAGTACTGATGCACTTGCACTACCCTAAAAGTGCTTTTACAGGTATTGCTTGTTTCAGGCCAGCTTACGCTACAATTTTGCTGTCATAACAGTACCAGTTAAGAGTAAGGGAGGGAGGAGAATCACACCCCTAACCAACACAGCTGTGCTGGCAAAATCCCCCATGTAAGTGCAGCTTCTACTAGCAAGAGTCCTTTGGCTGATGGAGCTTTTATCTCATTCGGGGAAATGGTTTAACTAGAAAAGCAAAGGAACTCCTTCTTCAGTGCAAGTTGTGTCTCCCCTAGGAAGCTTTGCTGGTATAGCTATACCTGCAGACCTCTTCTAGAGTAGGCCTGGCTTTACATTCTTCCCTATAGTGTTATGCTGGTCCAGGCTGGTTTTAAATATCCCAGTGATGAGGCTTCTACCTTTTTCCCTGGGGGGATCATTCCGCAGTCTAGCAGATTTTGTTATTAGGAAGCTTTTCTGATCTATTGAGCTTAAATGTTCCTTTTACCCTTCTGTAATTCTGCCCCTTGAAGCACTCTTGATTCTTCTTTCTCCTTGATCTTTATACTCGTACTCCATTGTTGTAGACAGTCGCACCCTCTAGCTGTATCTAAGCTTGTTAAGCCTTCCTCTCTGATTTGTTCCACGCCCACCTAAGCCTGTGATGACATGGATTCCTTCTGCACTGACACAGCCTTACAAGGAAGAGTCACAAACACTGGCCAGCGCTCTTCACCCCAAGTGAAAAAGCCAAACCGGCAGGTTTTGGGAGCGGTGAAGCTTAGTAATTGATCAGCCCCTTTTCCATCTACAGATAACACCTGCCGCTTCGAGGACGAGAAGATCTGTGGCTTCATGCAAGACAAGATGGATAACTTCGACTGGACCCGTCAGAATGCCTTGACCCAGAACCCCAAGCGCACTGTCAACACAGGTCCACCCACAGACATCAGTGGCACGCAAGAAGGTATTGCAGGCTTCCAGGTCCCCTGTCACTCCATTCTGTGCATAGTGTGAGGGAGGAGAGACATCGCCTGGTGTCTTGCCAAGCCCCTGTCAGGAGATCTGTAGCGCTCAGCACCCTGCCTTCCCACCCCCAGGATCCGGAGGATCTGCTTTCTAGGCACACATGTCTGCTCTGCATGGGGCACAGGGAGCAAGCAATTAATTTGCATGCTACTGATTGGCATTAAATACACAATTAAAACGCCCACAACTTTGTTTAAAGGAATAGTGAAAGCTCGTTACCAGCTAATTGCCTGCTGCCAAATGCCCTTGTCCCATCTGATGCTTGTTTTGAAGTCTCAGAGATAGAAACAAGCAGGAAACTGCTCTAGTGCTTAGGAATGTCCAGGTTGGTTGCAGCTAGATATTGTCTTAAGGAGGAAACCCAGCGAGGCCACCAGGCCACTGTGTCTCCTCTGTGCTGCGTCCACGTAGAAGTGGACTGTGTGAGCCCTTGTGGGCTGAGATCAGCAGTGCAAATGGGGAGAGTCAGTGCTTTGGAACAGCCTCTTTCTCCCTGCTTGGGGTCTCCTTTCATGGCCAAGTCTCTGGGGTGCAGTGCAGAGGTGGAAGGAGCCCACTGGCTGAGTAGGGAGGGAATTGTGCTATTTTAGCCCAGCAGTGTTACATCCAAAGGCAGGGGAACCAAGAACAAATGGGAGCACCGATGTGTCAGCCGAGTCAATTGCTTGTCTTGTCATTGTTCTTCTTACCAATCTGCTTCAACATGAGACGGGCACCGGTGAAATAAGTGGCTGTATTGTAAAATTGTATTGCGTTATGAGGCTGTACTTCTCCGCATGGCTAAAGGCAAGCCTACACTCGAGCACTGTGGAGCTCCAGTGGAGACATTTGATGCCAGTGGGAGAGAGCTCTCTCGTTGGCACAGTTAACGCTGATCTACAAGAGACAGGAAGGTAACTATGTCAACAGGCAAAGCTCCCCTGCCCGCATAGTGCTGCCTACACTGGGGGTAGGTTGGTAGAACTGGGTTGCACAGGGGTAAGGTTTTGTCACACCCCCGAGTGCCATTATTACAGCAGTGTAGCTCTGTAGTGTAGCCCAGCCCTAAGAACCTCTCCGATACTATTATTTAAAGATACCTCCATCCAGGGCAAATTTGCTGGAGCTTGTCACGCAACTTGGGACAGTGAAATTAGACTGATCAGTTTCACTTTCCTCTGCCTCCTCCATTTCACTCCTTGGTTCTCCTCCTGCACAAAGCATCTCGATTTGGGGTTCTCAGAGCTGCCCGAAAAGGCCTTAATCCCCCTCCCAAAATCCCAGCTTTTCAAAAGCATGAGCTAAACCTGCTGACCCATCTCATTCACCATCCTGCTGCCACTCAGCACCTGATCCTCCAGTGGCCAGTGAAAAGCCTGAGCCGAATCAGCAGGGCACAACTGGGCCAACACCCTGGTGGGGCGCGTTCAAAGCAAAGGCTGAGAAGAGCAAGCCTGACCCTCCTTCGCCCACCATTTCTCTCCATGTTCGATTCGTTCAGAGCTTGCCCTAAATGGTGGCTCTAAGCTGTCAGTATCTCTTTTGCTCTGCAGGGAGGGAGACCCGGTGTATTGCCTTTTCCCCACCTTTCCCTCTTGGTCTGTAGGTTATTACATGTTCATAGAGGCCTCCCGGCCCCGGGTGACAGGAGACAAGGCCCGGCTCATCAGCCCCCTGTACAACATCACTGCCAAGTACTACTGCGTCTCCTTCTTCTACCACATGTACGGGAAGCACATCGGTGAGTCACGTGGGAAGGGGTAACTGGCCTGGAGTGGGAATCCCCCACTGGGCGGGGGGTGGGGGGGTGTCTTCCAGCCAGGTCTGCTGGGAGCCTCTGAAGTTGTCCTTTCCCACCACCCCAGTGCAGAGCCAAATGTGTCTACCCTGTACCTCGCAGTAGCCCTTCAGCCCGGAGCCCCTGCCTCCCTACCCCCCAGCACAGTGCCCCGTCCCCCCAGGAAACAGGGCTGTGCTCCTTTGGTCATTCTCTCCCTGTAAAGCCCCTTCTCCCCGGCAGCAGCCCCTCTTCCGTCCCCAGCAATGTAGCCCTGCATCACACCCTCTCATCTGATCTCCTCTCACCACACCTCAGCCCCCCTGCAATCCCCTCACTCCCTCCTTGCCCAGCCTTGCAACAGCAGGGTGTAATTTCACAGGAGCGTCGTTGGTGTCTGGGGTGCAGAGGGAATTGTCCCAAGGGGGGTATTGACCCTTTGGGAGACATAAGAGGAAAATAGGGCTTCATGGTTGCTGGAGTGGTTTGGGGGTGGAAGCAAGATTTGGCAGGGTGATGGAGATCTATGGGGGGGAGGGGGTTTTATCCTGAGGCAAAGCTGTTCTGAGGGGGCATCTCCCCCTCCACCCTGCTCCTCTCATTGCTGAGTTGGAGCCCATGTACTTAGCAAGCAGCATGGAAGAGCCAGGCATGCTAATGAGTTTCCATATACAGTCACAGAGTAATTGCTAATTTGTCACCTCTTGATTATAATTTCATTAATTTGAATAATAGATGCAGTCTTCCCACAGTGCACCGGGTTATTAATCACCTGCTGGACTGGAGCCTGACTGAAAAATCATGGCCCAGATAGGAGTGTGTCTGGCTTCTGGTAAATGGGGTTAATTAACAGCTCTGCCTCTTCGCCACTGAGGTCAGTGGCATGGAACGAACTTCAGGGCCCATGGCTACTGGGTGTGGCAGGGTAGAAGAGGCCAGGGTCCAACATCTGGACACTTCCTGCATGGCTTGGACTATTCTGGATCATGTGGCTATGAACTGCCTTCTAGCCATGAGGAAAGGAAGGTTGTCCCAGCGGTCACTTAGAAGGTGCCCACCCATAGACGTGAAGTGAGGAGTCAGGGATGGTCTAGATGAGTGCTTCTCAAGTGGGGCACACGTACCTTAGGGGGTTCACAGAGGTCTTCCAAAGTGTCCATCAATTCATCTAGAAACTTGCCTTGTTTTACAAGCTACATAAAGATCATGAAAAATCAGTACAAACTACAATTTCATACAGTGACTTGTTTATACTGCTCTATGTACTGTACACTGAAATGTAAGTATAATATTTATATGCCAATGGATTTATTTAATAATGATGTGGTAAAAAGGAGACAGTTAGCAATTTTTCAGTACTAGTGTGCTTGGGACGCTTTTGCAGTTTTATGTCTGGTTTTGTAAGCCAGTGAAACTTGAGGGTATGGAAGACAAACCACACTCCTAAAAAGGGCCCAGGAGTCTGGAAGGACTGAGAGCCCCTGGTCTAGATAATACTTAGTCCTGCCATGAGTTCAGGGGATGGGACTAAATTTGCTTTCCATCCTATGAGTCTATGATTTTGGACCGCACTCTTGATGGTGATACGGCGGGAACTCTGTATTCTCAGACTTGCTGTCTGAGTGGGCTGTGCTTTTTTGATGCTCTCAAGGGCAGATGATGCTGAACTTACACCCATGTTTGTTCCACTTCATGCCGAGTTCTTCTGTGCCTGCCGGACTCATCCGTCACTCAACTAAGATCAGGTCACAACTGGCTACTTGTGTGGCTTTGTGTATGGACTGCGTATGTTTTTAGCCAGCCCTTCTCCAGACGTCTTCGAAGGCTTTCCTCCTTCATCAGGCCAGTGCAGAGCGAGAGACCCCAGTGATGGAAGGAACAGTGGCAGGGGAAAGAAGAGCTCCTCCAGCCTTTCTCAGTTTGGGAATTGGGCATTGCATCTCATACAGGGACATCACAAGAAATCCCTCCTGCAGGACAGATAAAGACCCGCTTCAGAGTTTCCCTCTTTCCCATGGAAACCTTGCAGCACCTTCAATTAACAATGTGTTCCAGATTTGGAGACAGGATGAAATGGATGCAAATGGGGACAGGTGCACTGAAGCTCTTTCGCTATTGGCATTTTAACCCTTTCTGCATTGGCTACTCAGAGGCTCGGGTAAAAGACTCCATTACTGCAGAGACCTGGGAAAACCACTTTGTCCCATTTCCATTCCCCTGTCTCAGGTCTTTTCCACTTCTGTTCATTTCTCCATTCAGACTTTAATATGATCCTCCCTGCCTTGTCCCTGCCCCCCTCTGGCCACCCAAAGGGACTGTTACATGTGTGCGAAGTGGCTGGATTGTTCAATGTTAATGGCATGTGGGTGCCACCGGAGCTGAGAGCGAATGATTTAAAATGCAGATGACTGGACAGAGTCGGAGAGGAGAGGTGAGGGAAGAGAATTATTTTCCCAGTGGTCCATTTGCAGTGGTCCTTCCAGACCTTTGAGCTCCCACACTTGCTGCAGGGTCTCCTGTAGCGTGCCCATCGCTGCAATCTCGAGTCATTCGGGCTTCTATAGAATTTGCTGGGATACCCAGCAAAAATCAATATGTTCCCAGGAAATCAGACCACCCAGCAACCCTAACCCTGCCTGGCTCACCAAATCTTGTGCTGCAAGATGACCTTTGCTCTGGGGTCGGTTTCTCTACTGCAAGCATGAAGCTGGCTAGTTTTTCAGTACTGGCATGTCACTGGCTCCTCTTCTCATCCCTCTCACATCCGGGATTGTCACTCGTATCCACCACATTTCGTGGGCTTGATCCTTGCCTGGATGCTGCCTGCCTTAGGCAGATCTCCAGCCTGGGGGTTCTCTGGGCAGTAGCTGTTCTCCTCCACTGAGGACATACTCTGTTCCCTATAGAAGTCTCTGTGATTCAATCTTGATTTCCAAGGTGCAGTGCTTGCTCTAAGACCAGTTTTGCTTGCTCGAGCAGAGGGTCATGTGGGACCAGGCCCTGCAGCCTTAGCACTGCTGAAGGGTGCCAGATGGGAAATCCCTGGAGGCTGAAGGCCTCTTGCTGCAGGTCCAGCCCAATCACAGCCATAACTCTCTGGTTCATCATCCTCTTCGCTGGGACCTATTGTGCCAACGGAGAGTCTGGACTGAGGCCTCCTACCCAGCAGTGCATCACACTGGACGCTCGGATGGTCACTGCAGTCCTCCAGTGCTGTCCATTCCTCTCGTGTGCAGTGTCTACACGCACGCCAGCGTAGCTGGACCAGAGCCAGCGCTCGCACGGGCCCATCGTGCCAGGGCCATTCTGTGTCCCCATTGCACTACCAGCAGAGTGTCAGAAGGGCAGCATGCATTTGAGCCCCACCCTATCCCAGCAGCTGGCCCTCCACCGCAACGCCACACAGCCCTGTGCCACCATGAAAAACAGCGGTGTAAAAAGCAACAGTTATTTCTCTGTAATAACCTGTTTATTGCCTTTTATTCCCCCCCTCACCACAACTTGGAAGCTGACTTGCTCTCACAATTTGACTATAAAATATCCATCGCCATTCAGGCAAATCTTCCCTGGGAGAGTTGCCAGCCACTGCTCGTTTATAATAGATATGACGAAAGCGAGAAACAGAATACAAATGGAGCGTGTGTCGCGGGGGTATAAAATATTCAGTGGCGAGCAGAGCAAGGTGATGCTGAATGTCTCCCAGCTGAGCCGGGAGCTGGATGGACAGGCGCTCTCTGGAGACCCTTCCCATTCACCTTGATTTATTTGCCCGTTGCTTCTTCCGCCCCTGAGCCCCAGGAATGAATGAATTCACACACCCTGTGGGGGGCAGGGGTGGTCAGCACTGTTGTCCCCATTTAACAACACAAGAAGTTGAGACCCAGAGAAGAGTCTTGTCCAAGGTACCACAATAAATCAGTGCTACCGCTGGGACTAGAACCCAGGAGTCGTGACTCTTACTCTCCCCCCCTTCCTTAACCATTACACTAAACTCGCTCCCAACAGGCTACTAATGTAGCGGATTAGTTGCTGGAGCTGCAATAGTCTCTCTTACCATGACCACTTATCTCAAGACTCACAGCTATTCATCCATGGGGACGCTTGCCAGAGTCGTAGCTGGGCGTCTGATTAGCGCTGTGCACATGAGCCGCTGTTCTAGGACAGTGCCACATCTCTTCCCCTGCCAGACACACTGCTTGCAGTGGAGGTCAGGACGCCTCCATCCGCTACTCACGTGGTCGATTGCAGGATGACGAATGGTTGGGGATTTCCCACAGCAGGGGATGTGGCTCCCCCCCAGACACAGCACCTTAATATGTGTGGCCACCATGCTGGTTGGCTTCCTTAGTGTGATCAGGTGCCTGGTCTCCAGCCCAGAATGCCGCGTCTCTCGGAAAGCAGTAATTGTACGCACATCAAAGGGGCTTGGGCTGAATAGCCAGTCATGTGACTATTTTCATCCAATCAGTGAACGGGATTTGTTTTCTGACTTCTGATTCATGATGTCACTGCTAAGCTGGCACAAAATGCTTTGGGGGGGGGGTGGTGTTGGCTATATTTTTACCAGGGCTAGTCACTGGCATATGCGGTCTACATCGAGGCTCTGGAGGGAGGTAGCCCCAGAGATCAAAGTTGGGAATTACCTCTCCTGGCACTGGGGGGACTCCGATTTTAGTAGTCTGTGTACCTATGGCAGCTTCATGTAGAATCTATATCCAAACTACCAGCCCTTCGGCGGGAGAGCTGGGCCCGAATTAAAATTAAAATTTCAAAACCCACCTCTGGATTCCTCTTGGTCACTCGTGAGCCTCCCAGTTGGTTTAGGAGTTCCTTGTGCATTGGGGAACCAGTTTGTCAGCCTGGATCTGCCCGACCTCTCTCCAGCTCATCTGACAAGTGTGAAAGGTACTGCTATTCCAATCCCCCTCTGGCTGTGATCCTGATGGGGTCTGGCCTGGCCACTA